TCCCCCGGGCCTCCTCCCCATCACCTGGAGCCATGTCTGGCCAAGCGCAAGGGGAGAGGAGCTGCCTGCACTGGGCCTCGGGCCCTGTGCCGTTGGGTTCTGGGGAGAGCGGCCCCCACTTCGGCCCCGGATTCACCCTGGCGCTGGGCTGGAGCTATGCCCGTGATGTCAGCCCGGGGACTGTGACATCACTGAGTGGAGATGTGCGGAGAAGGGGGTTCCCGGGGCCTCCCCAGGGGAGTGGCCCCTGGCCCTGACAGGATGGAGGACCTTAAAAAACAAGCAGCAGGTAACTCACCTGAGGCAGGCGCTGGGGGAGAGCAGTCTCTGACTCCGCCCCAGCCAGGCCAGTCTCTGCAGGACCTGCTCCGTGCGCGACTCCCGAGGCTGCCTGGGCCTGGCCGGAGGTTAGCCACTGCCTGGGGCAGAGGGTGAGGGAGCCAGGCTGTGGGGGGACTGGCCTGCTGCCCCAGCAGCAAGGGCCTGAGAGTGCACTCCTCGGCAGGGTGCGTTCCAGGTGCCCAGGGACGGAATCGGGGGCCAAGTTGGTCCAGTTGAGACTAGGTTTAGTTTTGATCCTGAGAGGGGAGGCCTCCCCCAGACGTGGTTATTTTTAGTTCCAGCTCTGGGGCCAGTGCCAGGACAGTGGTCACATTGTATTTCTGCTCCCCTGAGGTCTCAGGACTGCTGCTTCCACCCAGGTGTGGCACTGGGGTGGTGTGCAATTCCAGAGGTGCTGCATGAGCCCCTCCCCTCCAGACCAGTGTGTGGCTCTTGCTGTGGCCTGGGAGAGGAGTTAGGGTGAGGCCATGGGTGGCCAGCCCAGGCCTGCTGGGCCCTGCTTTCCAGAGCCTCTTGAGCTTGCTGCCCTTTGGGTCTTGGCGTGCAGTTGGCAGACGGAGGGCTTCAGCCCTCAGTGGCTCCTGACCTCCGCCCGGTGCCCTCTGCCTGGAGGTAGTGACCACTCACCTGCTCTGTGTTCCTGGGGCGAATGTGGGCAGGTGGGAGCTTTGGCCCTCAGTGCTTTCAGGGTTACTTGCACCTTGTGGCCTGAGGTGGGGTCTTTCCAAACTCACCTGGCTGTTTCCTCTGTGCTGCCACAGGGCCTAAGCAGACCCCAGAACATGGGGACCAGCTCCAGGCACTGACCCTCCCCGAAGTCCCTCCCGTCGTGAGTTCTCTCCTTGGCGGGCCCCAGGCTGCTGGAAGCGTGCGTGCGGCCTCCGTGGGTGCAAGTCCCCTCTGCACAGGGAGTTCCTCAGATGTGGCCTGTGGGGTGGGGCAGCAGAGGGGACACGGGCACCACCGCCGGGAGCAGGCTGAGAATGTCGTGGCCCCAGTCTGCAGCGGGCCTTGGCGGGACTGGCTGCCGGCCACACTCGGCCTCGGTTTCCCTCTCTGCAAGGAGGGGGAGGGCGGTGCCTGGAGCGCGCTTGTCACCAGGGTCTGGCGCAGGCCGCCGCCGCGCTCTCTCAGAGACCATGCCCCCAGACCCTGGGCTTTCAGGGGGGCTGGGACCCTGAGAACTGGCCCAAGGTCTGCAAGGGCCTTGTGCTCTGGGTCCGTAGGCCCAGGGGGACCTGGCCCTCGTCACACCACATCAGTATTTCCACCGCCAGTGATGGCACAGGCTGAGCTGTGGCCTCCGGTGAGGGGAGGGCGCTTGTGTCTGAACATCAAGCAGGCATTGTGAGGAAATGCAAATCCGAGCGCCTCATACCTGTAACCACAAACAAGCAGCACCGGAGGACGGGCCGCTCCTGTGGCCCTGGGTGTGAGGTGGCGTGAGGTGGCGGCGCTGGCCGGGGAGCGTCTGGGCAGTTCTCCAGGCAGTCAGAAGTTTCCAGCTGACCTAGCTGCCAGCTCCTACTCACAGCGGCCCTTCAGGTGTCCGTCAGCCGGGAAACAGCACGTGCCCACACACCCAGGCGCCACTGGGCAAGGAAGGGGGGCAGCTCTGCCACTCGCCACCCCGGGAGGGGCCAGCGCCCGATGCTGGGAGAGAAGGCAGACTCGCAGGCCAGTGGCGTGGCCACTGGCAAGGAATGCCCGGGACGGGCACTGCCACAGAGGGCTCGTGCGCAGACTGGGGAGGCCTGCCGCGGGGACGGGCTCCTTTGGGGTGGTGAAGTTCTGGAATGATGTAAATCGGGAACTCTGAAATGCAAGCATGAGGCCTCCGTCGTCCAGCTGGAGAGGTGCTCTGGCTTTCTCTGGGGCGCATCTGCCCCTCTCAGTGCCAGGTGTGAGTCACCAGCCTCACCCAGCCTCACCCAGGAGCAGGGCTGGAGGAGCAGCTTGTCTTTGTTATGAAAACGTGGATTATCTGCTGTTGTGTAAACAGCCTTAGGCCACACCCAGGTGCATTTGAAGGGACGTTTGCTGTTTCCAGGTGTAGGCAGGTGGGACCCCAGAGGCCTGGCCGCCACCCCAGACTGCTTGCCCTCTCACCTGGGCTGTGTCCAGGGACGGCCCCGTGGGGCGTGGAAGCGGGGCCTTGCAGAGCACGTCTCGCCCTCGTTGGCCCCGTGCCCACCAGAGTGACTGCCCTGAAAGCCAGCCAGACCTTGCTCCTTCCTGACCAGTGGCCAGGGCCCCGGCCGTGCAGGGAGCCTGGACTGGCCCTGGGCGGGAAGGACTCCTCCCCCGGCCACGAGCGGTTGGCCGGCCTCTCCTGCGGGCATGCCGGCGGCCGGGCGGGCTGGGACTGCACAGCGATGGCGCGGGAGGGCGCCTGTCCCGTGCCCGTCGCCCGCGGCCTGTGGCTCGCGCCGCGCAGTGAGCACCACCGCTGTAGCACACAGCTGCTGGCGTGCGTCTGCCTCTTTTAAGGTTTATGTACGCGGGCACCCAGGATCTGGGTACGGGCCAGACGGGGGGGGGGGGGGGGGAGTAAGAGGATCCACCAGAGGCAGAGCCGGCAGCAGAGCAGGCACAGGGGCGAAGTGCACCGCTGAGGGGAGCCGCGGGGAGACGGGTCTGCTGCGCCCTGGGGTCAGTCCCCGCTGATAGCTTCAGGGTGCTGCGCTTTGACCCCTGCCCCCCCAGGGAGGCCCTGGCGCTCATTTGAATGTGTGTGTGGATGTCACCCAGCCCCACCTGGCCTAGCTGGTGGCTGTTCTGTGAGGCCTGTGCCTTGCCTCGCTCCCTGGATCTGAGTCTACCTGGTGTGGAAACTCCCCACAGGTGGGGAAGGGGCCTCTGGTCAGAGCTGTCGGCGGTGTGACCAGTAACCTGTCACCGGTGGCTTCCTGCTGTGACCCCAGGGCAGCGGGGTCCTGGGCCCTTGTGGCGGCTTGTGACGGTTCACTGTCGACGCCCAGTCCCGCCCTCGTCCCTGTCGGCCCACCTGGCCAGCTGACTCAGGACCAGGTGGCTGGTCAGCGCCGCCCCAGGTGCCCACTTGGGGCAAACAGCATCTCCGCTACCGGCATGAGGTGCAGGGGTCCTGGGCCTGGCGGGGGCGCAGCCGCCAGGCCCCGATGGGCGCCCCGCCCCGTGCGAAGTTCGCAGACGGCGGGCGAGGGCTCGCTGCGGCCTGCGGGTGCTGACCTGCTCCCACCTGGACCTTTGCTCCTGGCTCAAGCCCGCTTCATTCCATCTGCGAAGCGTCTGCTGGGCCGCGGGCCGGCACCCGTGTGCCCGCTCCCGCCTGACTGCTCGGTGGTCCCCGGCCAAGACAGCACAGGAGACGGCCCGCCCGGTGAGCTGGTCCTAGGGCCAGCTGGGTGCTGGTGGGGGGTGTGGGCAGCGTGGCAGGCTCTGCTGCCCGCCCTGGCACCCCCCAGGCGCCACCCTGGCTTTCCTGGTGGGAAGCCTGTGGGGACCGAGCTGCGGACGTGGACGCGCATGCGGTGCGAGGCCGCGGTGTGCACTTGGGTGTGGGCGAGCGCGGGCGGGAGGGGGCGCATCTGTGCCCGTCCCGCGGGGCTTTGCCGTCTGTGGCTCTGAGCACCCTCACTCTCAGATTCTCTCTCGCCACCCGAGGGCCTCACCCCTGCCTCCGGTCGGCGGCCTTGGCTCTAGGGTGCTTTCGTCGGGGTCACTGTGTCAGGTCACCCTGACCCCACGCTAGCCCATCTGTGACGTGGGGTGGCTGGCTGGCCCCTTGGTCCACCTGCAGCTGACCAGGCGCCTGGTGGTGGGTGGGGCACCCACCAGGGCAGGCAGCAAAGCCCCCTGGGGCACTGGGGAGCTGCCACCCTGCACTGCTTGCCTGCCGCTGCTGTGGGCGGGAGGCTGCCTCTGAGGGCTGTTCCCCAGGGCGTCCAGCCCCCGCCCAGCCAAGGGGAGTGCTGACTCCGGGAGGAGCCTTGGCCCCCCTCAGCCCCTGGCCCTGCGCTGCGCGGCCTGACCCCTTCCCTCAGCCTCATCTCGCGCCCGCCGGCATCGGGCAGTGTGCGCCAGCTGAGAACGGCAAGCAGAGATGGGCTCTTTAAGGGAGATTCCTCTGGCTTTTGGCGGGGGCGCAGGAGGCAGCCAGTGGGACGGTGTTGGGGGGAGCTGTCGGCGGGCGGGGGCGCTTCTTCCCGACGCTGACCCTCCCGTTCCCTGGAGCTGCCTGCCCCCCACACCTGAGGAGCCAGGCTGCAGCCCCCACCGCCCTGGCAACCCTGTTGGGGCTCGCTCTCCCTGGCCCGCCGTGGCCGCCGTGACCGTCACAGGGATGGGGCGTCCGACCAGGCGCCTTCTGTTCTCACCTTCCCCTTCCCGGGGGCAGCTCTTCGCCTTGGGGAGACAAGCTGTACCCCCCATCCTGGCTCCCAGGTTCTGGGGCACCTCTCACCCCTCTTCACCCCTTTTCCACAATCATCCTGGCGACCGGAGGGGGGTGGGCACGAGCCAGAGCCCAAGAAAGCCAACTCTGTCTCCCGGACAGCGGGGGGCAGGCCTTCAGCGGTCCCCCAGAGCTCCTCCACCCCGAGCCCCTGTGATGTCCTTACTTGCCACCAGCCCCAGGGGCCGACTGCTCTGACCCTGCCTCTGTTTCTTCCCAGCTGGGAGCTGCGAGATTTGAGGCGGCGCGGGACCTGTGAACAGAATGTGTCCTCCCCCTCCTCACGACCCTGAGGCCACCAAGATGAGTGCCGTGGCCCGGCCGGCGTGTGTGCCCACGTCGCGCTAGGGGGAGCCCGTGGGGACGCCAGGCGCCGGGCCCATGGTGTGCTAGTCCCCAGGAGCCGCCGCCAGCCAGGCCTCCGCAGACCGGGATCTGCCCGCAGCAGAGTAACCGTGGAGAGGCCAGGGTACCACAAACTTATGGATTTTGACAAGAAAGGAGGGAAAGGGGAGTCGGAGGAGGGCCGGAGAATGTCCAAGGCCAGCGGCCGGACCAGCCACGGCGGCCGGAGTGCGGGGACCGGCTCAGGGGTCCTGATGGTGGGCCCTAACTTCCGTGTCGGGAAGAAGATAGGCTGTGGCAACTTCGGGGAGCTCCGGCTAGGTGAGCCTGTGCCCTGGGGCCAGGGGTGAGGGTGGGAAGGCCGCCAGGTGGAGCCACGCCCTCTCACTCGGCCCAGTCGTGGGGTGGGGAGCTCAGGTAAGTTCCACGAGTTTCTCTCCAAGGCTGACTGGCAGGGGTGGACTCTTGGTCCGGGGACAGCTCGCTTGGGGGCCCTGGCCCTCTGAGCTCCGGGGCTGACCAACAGGAGACACCCTGTGTCCAGTGTCTGCGGGTTCCGTGCCCTTGTGTGCCAGCCTCTCCCGCCCTGGCCGTCAGGGCTGTGGGCCCCGGGCTCAAGTCCGGCATCTGGTTGTGCTCTCCTGACACGCCCAGCGTCCTGAGGGGCTGGCTGAGACCTGTCCTGCCCTAGAGCCACAGCCTGGCTTGTGGGGGAGCTGCGGGGCTGCGTCGGGGCCATGGTCTCCATGCCTTCCCTCTGTGGCATTGGGTAGCCCCAGGCATGTGGCTCCTGAGCCAACTGATGGTGAGAGCCAGGCCCGGACTCCGCTGTGGGAAGAATGGCGCGGCCCCGCTCGGGGCTCAGACTGCTGTGCACGCGAGCCCCCTCCCCCGCGCGGGCGCCCTCCCCCGCGCGGCGCTGCTGCTGGAGCCAGCCGGGCCCTGTGGCCCCCAGGGCAGGCGCACGCCTGCTTGCAGACACGGACGTGGCGCGCGGACGGGCACACGCTAGCTGCCGGCCCCACCTCTGCCGTCTGGGTGGGGCCGTCCGGCTCAGCCACCGTGGGCCTGCCCCTGGGCGTCGGAGCAGCAGCCTGCACAGCGCTGGTCAGCACAGGGGTGCAGAGGGAGCCCAGCTGGCGCTGACCGGAACCGCCTTCCAGTCGAGGTGTTCTTGCCTGGTTTCTGTGGCTTGCTGCAGTTTTGAGAGCGTCCGTGTTGTCACATGTCAGTAGCTGGTTACTCTGGTGCTGCGTGGGCAGTGGTCTGCCCTGTCCTGCTCACCCTTCTGCCTGTGTCGGGCCGTGGCCATGGCCAGATTCGGGCTCACGAGCCGCCCTGCCTGTGCCTCCCTGCGAGCCGCGGGCGCTGTGTTTTCATGGGCGCTCCGGGGAGCCGCAGGCTGGGTTGCAGTGCGGCCGCTCCCGTGTGACCTCTCACTTTGGTGCCAGAGGGCCTGGGGACCCCACAGCCTCACTGACACTTGGGGTTTCGGACCTCGCCACTTAGCGCCCGCTGAGGGTGTGGCGGGTGTCTGATCCAGGCTTCCCTGATGACTGATGCCCGCTGTTCGCTGTGTCCTGGTTGCTTTGAAGATTTTCAGTGTTTGGTTTCAGAACTTGATCCTGCTCTGTTTAGGTGTGTTTTCTTTGTGTCACCTGCTTGTGATTCATTGAGCTGCTGCATCTGTATATTGACACTTTATCATTAAATTTGGAAAAACATGTCTTACACTCATTTGTGCTTCCTTCGCAATGGGCCGGTTACATGTGCGTAGTGCTGCTGCCGACAGGCCCCGGACTCTTCGCTTTTCCTCTTTGCCGCAGTCGGCTCCTGCTCCCTGTTCGTTCACTCCCCTTTTCTGCCTGGTGCAGCCTGTTATTAGATCCTTCAGTGAATTCCTCATTCCACGCGTGGTGTTCGTTCCTTCTGACTCCCCACGGAGAGGCACCATCCGCTCGTTCATTGTGGCCATCTTTTCCTTTACTCCTGTGAACACACTCGGAGCAGCTGTTTAATGCTGATGCCTGTGGCACCTTTGACTTCGATTTTCCCTGTCACAGTCCTGTTTCTCCTGATGATGTTTATGGTATGTCTTGGACGTTGTGAGAGCTGCCTGCTAAAAGTGTGGGTACACTTTCTCCTGGGGCTCACTTGGTTCCGTCAAGACCAAGCTGGCTGTGTGGGTAGGCTGAGCACAGACCTTACGTAGGACTGGACTCACCCCTTTCCCAATATGTGGGTTCTCTGCTGAATGTTTTGTGGGGTGAGGGGACACTCTGCTCTGGATGGCTGCAGGTCCAGCATCTTCCCGCTTCTGGTGACCCACACGTCCTCTCACAGCCTGTTGGAGTTGTTCTCTGTGAAGCTTTGCAGACGGGCTGCTCACATGCCAGGCAGGCCCCCCGCCCGTCCGGGCACCCAGACTCCTGCCAGGGTTGGCCTCGCTCTGTGTGTGTGTGTGTGCGCGTGCACACAGGTCACGCTCACACTCACACTCATGAACATTCACACACACAACTTTAAACTTGGGCTGGACTCCAGGGCTCCGCCTCTCCTAGAACTCATGGACCATCAGGCGCAGTAGTTTTCTTCAACAGGAGCCAGAAAACATGACCGGATACCATAAGGATCCTTTAGACGTCCTCAGAAGTCCTCAAAGCCCGTTGTTAAAAGCACAGGCAGATGAGCTGCGGCAGGATGCCCAGCGGGTCCTCCGTGGTGCAGCTGCTGCCGTCAGAAACAGGCGGGAGACCTGAGCCCTTCCCAGAGGTCCCCAGAGCACAGAGGGCCAGCGGGTGTGGCCGCGCCGGCCGGACCGGCCTCTGGGCAGTTCCCTGCGGACCCCTGGCGTCGTGGTGTCCGGGCAGGCTCTGGGAAGGCCCAGCACTCCTTGCTGTGTGCAGGGAGGAGAACGTGCTGGGATTCGGCCTGTTGCCGGCCTGTTTGGGCAGGTGGCACTGACCACGAAGGGGGGCGCACGAGGGAGCTTACACAGGGGTGATGGCTTGTCTTGTGGGGCGTTGATGGGTGTGTGCCCTTCCCAGGTAAACATGGCCTCTGTGGGAGGCAGGCCATGCCTAGCGGGCACCGGGAGGGGTGGGGCAGGCCGTCGCCCCTCTAGACGCTGGCGGAGCTCCAGCCGTCCTGCGGGCTGGTGCTGCGCGCTGGAGGCCGGCGCGAGTAAGTGCACGCTGGGCTCCCGCAAAATCCAGGGGCCAAGGCTAGATGGAGCTTCCATCCGCGCTTACGGCGAGGAGCGGGGCCTCAGCATGTGGACAGAAGCAGGTGTCGTGGACAGGGAGTTTGGGGAGGAGCAACCGGCCTGGCTCGGCCCGGCACCCCCGGGCCCTGTGGGAGCAGGTCAGGAGTGACGTGCCTGCCCAGCAGCTGGAAAATAGACATCACAAAACAACACCCGTAGTGAGCACCCCAAGCCCTCAGGCGCCCCAAACTGTCGGGCGCTCGTGCCCGCCTCACCTGAGCCGGGTGGCGCACACCAGGATGCCCGTCGCGGGACTGCTGCCAGAGCAGGCGCCCTGCGGCCTGACGGTGCGTGGGCCTCGCCTGTGAGCAGCGTCTGCCGCCACAGGGGTGGGCAGGACTCGTGCATGGGGCGCACCAGCGGAGGGCAGTGGCGTCTCCCCGTGATGGTGCCCACTTGGGAGTGGCAACAGCCACTTGGCGGTGCGGACGTGACAGCCCTGGAGGCGCAGGGCTGGAGGGCCTGGCGGAGGTGCCTCAGGCCGGCAGGCTGGCTGGCAGGGGCCTGACCCCAGCGCTAGTCTGGTGGGACACACAGTGCAGGGTGCATGGCCCCAGGCCCGGGGTCCTCCACAGGAAGGGACATGGGATCCTTCCTGGAGCCCTGAGCCCCATAACACCCTGCCTCCCATGTTTGTGGGGTGCTGCAGGGTAGAGTCTCAGCTGACTCGTTGAGGCGGGATGCCAGTCCTGGGCAGGTGCCAGCGCCTGTCCCCACCTCCCTGGCCTAAGAGGTGTTCACGCCCTGGCAGCGGGGTGGGGGCAGGCATGCCAGAAGAAGCCGCACAGAGCAGGTCGTCGGGAAGTTGTGATGGGACGAGCTCTCTGGCTGCGGCTTCCACCTGGCCTCCCTGCCGGGAGCCGGGTGGGGTGGTCGGAAGGGGGCTGCAGGGGCATCTCCAGGCGTTCACATCTGGAGTGACCAGGAGGGTCCGGGTGGAAAGAGTGCCAAGAAAGTTTGGGGGTGCCTCAGGGATTCTTGGGAGCCAGGAGGGGCAGGCTGCAGAGTTCAGAGGCAAAGGGAGGTACCGGGTGGGTGTGGGACCAGTTCTTCCCTGCAGAGAGGGTCAAGGGGCCTTTGTTCTTGTCCATTGTTTCAGAGGGGAGGGAGGGAATGTTCTGGTGTGCAGGAAGGGGTCCCCTAGAGGAGTTGGGAGCAGCCCCTTGAGGCTGAGGCAGGGTTTGCTCCAGGAGGGACGGACACAGTTCAGGGGAGCTCTGGGCGTGGGAGCGGCATGGGAGGAGGCAGCGGGGAGGCAGGGTGGGCTCAGGAGGTTCAGGAGGGAAGGGGGCTCCTGCCTGTCCACTCCCAGGACCTGGCAGGGCAGCACCTAGCTCAAGGTAGGCTGCCCCAGAAACCGGAGGTGCCCCTTGGAGAGTGGGGCCCCAGCCTCTGCCTGCGTGGTGGGGGGCTCTGCTGTCCTGACGAACCTCTCTTCCACAGGAAAGAATCTCTATACAAATGAATACGTAGCTATCAAATTGGTGAGTCCGGCCTCCTGACCCCAGCCCTGACAGGGCCCAGCCCTGTGGGCCTGAGCTCATTTGGCCTGAGGGTATTGGGTGGAGGGAGTGGCACAGCCACAGTGGGTGACCATCTGCCTGACCCCCCAGGAGCCCATCAAGTCCCGGGCGCCGCACCCAGGTAAACATGGCCTCTGTGGGAGGCAGGCCA